GATAGCATGACTGCATGATTAGCAAGTGACTAGCATGTTGCTAGCATGATTATCAAGAGACTAGCATGTTGCTAGCATGACTAGCAAGTGGCTAGCCCATCGTTAGTATGATTAGCAAGTTACTAGCATGTCGTTGACATATTTCTAACATGTTGCTAGCATGATTAGCAAGTGACTAGCAAGTTACTAGCATGTCGTTAACATTTTTCTAGCATGTTGCTAGCATGATTAGCAAGTGACTAGCATGTCGCTAGCAGGTTGTTAGTATGATTAGTAAGTGACTAGCATGTTGCTAACATGATTAGCAAGTGACTAGCATATTGCTTGCAGGATTAGCAAGTGACTAGCATGTTGCTAGCATGATTAACAAAGTTACTTGCATGTCGTTAGCATGTTTCCAACATGTTGATAGCATGATTAGCAAGTGACTAGCATGTTGTTAGCATGATTAGCAAGTGACTAGCATGTTGCTAGCATGACTAGCAAGTGACAAGCATGTCGTTAGCATGATTAACAAGTTATTAACATGTCGTTAGCATGTTTATAGCATGTTGCTAGAATGATTAACAAGTGACTAGCATGTTGCAAGCATGATTAGCAAGAGACTAGCATGTTTTTAGCATGATTAGCAAGTCACTAGCATTTTGCTAGCATGACTAGCAAGTCACTAGCACGTCGTTAGTATGATTAGCAAGTTACTAGCATTTCGTTAACATGTTTCTAGCATGTTGCTAGCATGATTAGCAAGTGACTAGCATGTTGTTACCATGATTAGCAAGTGACTAGCATGTTGCTAGCATGATTAGCAAGTGACTAGCATGTTGTTACCATGATTAGCAAGTGACTAGCATGTTGCTAGCATGATTAGCAAGTGACTAGCATGTTGTTACCATGATTAGCAAGTGACTAGCATGTTGCTAGCATGATTAGCAAGTGACTAGCATGTTGTTACCATGATTAGCAAGTGACTAGCATGTTGCTAGCATGATTAGCAAGTGACTAGCATGTTGTTACCATGATTAGCAAGTGACTAGCATGTTGCTAGCATGATTAGCAAGTGACTAGCATGTTGTTACCATGATTAGCAAGTGACTAGCATGTTGCTAGCATGATTAGCAAGTGACTAGCATGTTGTTACCATGATTAGCAAGTGACTAGCATGTTGCTAGCATGATTAGCAAGTGACTAGCATGTTGTTACCATGATTAGCAAGTGACTAGCATGTTGCTAGCATGATTAGCAAGTGACTAGCATGTTGTTACCATGATTAGCAAGTGACTAGCATGTTGCTAGCATGATTAGCAAGTGACTAGCATGTTGTTACCATGATTAGCAAGTGACTAGCATGTTGCTAGCATGATTAGCAAGTGACTAGCATGTTGTTACCATGATTAGCAAGTGACTAGCATGTTGCTAGCATGATTAGCAAGTGACTAGCATGTTGTTACCATGATTAGCAAGTGACTAGCATGTTGCTAGCATGATTAGCAAGTGACTAGCATGTTGTTACCATGATTAGCAAGTGACTAGCATGTTGCTAGCATGATTAGCAAGTGACTAGCATGTTGTTACCATGATTAGCAAGTGACTAGCATGTTGCTAGCATGATTAGCAAGTGACTAGCATGTTGTTACCATGATTAGCAAGTGACTAGCATGTTGCTAGCATGATTAGCAAGTGACTAGCATGTTGTTACCATGATTAGCAAGTGACTAGCATGTTGCTAGCATGATTAGCAAGTGACTAGCATGTTGTTACCATGATTAGCAAGTGACTAGCATGTTGCTAGCATGATTAGCAAGTGACTAGCATGTTGTTACCATGATTAGCAAGTGACTAGCATGTTGCTAGCATGATTAGCAAGTGACTAGCATGTTGTTACCATGATTAGCAAGTGACTAGCATGTTGCTAGCATGATTAGCAAGTGACTAGCATGTTGTTACCATGATTAGCAAGTGACTAGCATGTTGCTAGCATGATTAGCAAGTGACTAGCATGTTGTTACCATGATTAGCAAGTGACTAGCATGTTGCTAGCATGATTAGCAAGTGACTAGCATGTTGTTACCATGATTAGCAAGTGACTAGCATGTTGCTAGCATGATTAGCAAGTGACTAGCATGTTGTTACCATGATTAGCAAGTGACTAGCATGTTGCTAGCATGATTAGCAAGTGACTAGCATGTTGTTACCATGATTAGCAAGTGACTAGCATGTTGCTAGCATGATTATCAAGTGACTAGCATGTTGCAAGCATGGCTAGCAAGTCACTAGCATATTGTTAGCATGATTAGCAAGTTACTAACATGTCGTTTGCATATTTCTAGCATTTTGCTAGCATGATTAGCAAGTTACTAGCATGTCGGTATCATGTTGTTAGCATGATTAACAAGTGACTAGCATGTTGCTAACAGGACTAGCAAGTGACTAGCATGTTGCTAGCATGATTATCAAGAGACTAGCATGTTGCTAGCATGACTAGCAAGTGGCTAGCCCATCGTTAGTATGATTAGCAAGTTACTAGCATGTCGTTGACATATTTCTAACATGTTGCTAGCATGATTAGCAAGTGACTAGCAAGTTACTAGCATGTCGTTAACATTTTTCTAGCATGTTGCTAGCATGATTAGCAAGTGACTAGCATGTTGTTACCATGATTAACAAGTGACTAGCATTTTGTTAGCATAACTAGCAAGTGACTAGCATGTCGTTAGCATGATTAGCAAGTAACTGGCATGTTGTTTACCTGTTTCTAGCATGTTGCTAGCATGATTAGTAAGTAACTAGCATGTTGCTAGCATGACTAGCAAGTGACTAGCATGTAATTAGCATGATTAGCAAGTGACTAGCATGTTGTTACCATGATTAGCAAGTGACTAGCATGTTG